TTTTTCGACGAAACTTATGATGAGTTCAAGCTCGTCAAAAGTTGCAGCTTTTTTTTTCTTTGGGCTGCTAGCAGCTCAGGCCTGGAGTGGAGGAGGCTAGAGCAGCCCGGTGCATAGGCCTAGCTCACATACCCACCATTGCTAGGCTGGGCTGGGCTGGGCTAGCTGCACATGACTGCTCTCTTCCCTTAGTTTTTCCTTCCAATAATTTATTTTTATATATTTTTTATGATGAAATTAGGTGTGAAAATATAGAAAATAAATCATTATTTTTTTTGTTTTACATTTAGTTTGACATGATAGAATATATATGATATATTTTTTAATATTTTAGTTTGAATATATATATATATATATTCTTATTGTTTAAATTTTATTTCTTCAATTGTTTTTTTATTAAAATTCTCATCCAATTAATTTTTTAACTTTTTGATATAAGTTTATTTGTTAATAGTTTTTTTTATAAATGAATTTTGAAATAAAATTTGGAACACGATTGTGTTATTTTTCAAAATATATTATTATTATTATTTATATGATTAATTATTTTTTATAATTTTTAAATGAGACTAGCGTAGTTGCATATATAAATTCCGATGAGAGAAATAGAGAACTAAAAATGTGTTTTAGATAATTAGAATCATTTTTTAAAAAATTAATAATTAGTTAAAAAAGAATTTGTAGATTTTATTTGCTTATATATAGTTTTGTTAGAAATTAATTATATATTTGTATAGATAACACCGATTATTTGTTATTTATTTTTTTCATATTCTAAAATTTTTATTTTTAAATAAAATAATTTAATCAATGTTTTGAAAGAACCTCTCAATTATTCAAATACAAATATTTATGCTAATATTATAAATTATTTTAGTAATAAATATATATAAATCAAACAATTTTGCTCAATATATAGATTAGATTTATATTAATCGCTAGAAACAAAATTTCTACTCACATGACATCATACGAATCATTAACCCTACGTATACAACGGTTGTCCGACCACAGCGTAGCGTGGATTATATAATTAGTTGATAATATATTAAAAAATTATTTTAATCCAAAACTCTCATTTAACAATTTTACTTTAGAGATTGAGATTTTTTTTTACTTAATTTGATATCATAATTTATTTGGCCATATGGTTGGTGTATCCGTACAAATTTCAAATCCATATAGCTTTTGTATCCGAATGAGTTAATAATAAACCATTTTTTGAATTTTACATGAAAGCTCAAGTTTTAAAGCTGAGATGAAGTTTTACCATCTTAAAGAAATTGTTCACCTGTATTACTAATATAATATACTAATACGAAGTGTATTAACTTATCGAAGTTTGCAATGAAGTTAATTAAGCTCTTAGGGTTGAGAAGAAAAAAGAAATTTTTAATCTTGCCTAAAAATCATTTAAGAAGTAAGTAGTTTAGGTGAGTTGTCTGGGATGACAAACATTTTCAAATTTTGAAAAAATCTCGTAGTCATACATCTTGATTGAATTTCATTAATTTTAAAAAAACTTGACGGAATTGTTTACAACCTTGTGTATTGTGAATGTATATATTACTATATTATCATAAGGTTTGGTAAGATTTTTTTTTACCCTTATTAATTACTTTCTCAATCATTAAAAGATTGTTTGTTTTTTCTATTATATTGTTTGTTTTTTCTATTATATCAGTATCAAAATATATATTTAGTTAAAACTTTAAATAGAGTACTTTTCTAAAATAGTCTTAATTAAAATTCATTGGATGACTAACAATTAAAAAATATATATTTTAAGAAAATATAAACAAAATATACTAACATAACATTTAATAACTTTCTAAATCTATGTGCAAAATAAAAAAATATATAATCTTTTTTAAACTAAAAAAACATAACTAGATTTTAAAAACTTTCAAATAAATCTTTTGATTCGAAAAAGAAAATTAAAAGAATCCAACAATTTCTTCTAACTCTGTTTCAAATTCGGTAAATGAAACGACACTATTCATTTTTCCATAGTGAGATAATATTCTCAATTATCATAATGATCCCAATTCCCATCAAGGTGATAAGAACATTAAAATTGAAATCCAAATTCTAAAAATTCCCTACCAAGTTCCAAGATTCACGTTTCCAAATTCCAACATGAAAAAAAAACATTTGTATAGTTTTACAACACTAAATGCTAAGGCCCATAAGACATCATGTCCAAGCCCTAACAATGTTTTAGGCTTGTCATGGCTTCCTTCACCTACAACCGACACCCACAAGCCACAACCTCAAGAAGACAAAAGCCCACCCACCTCCACACACTTCCAGAAAGTACCAAAATGGAGGCTTTTCTCTTTTCTAGCATCAGCGAGAAACATAATTTATTTTTCAGACATATCCATCCTCTTCGTGCTCACAATCCAGACACCAAGAAACCATGTCGATAGTTCCAATTGGCAACCGAGATGGCACAGTTTCAAATCCCACTTCTTTAAACACATGGGATCCTGAAGATTTCTTCACTTCACTGGACCTTTGGGACCCTTTTCAAAACTTTCCACTTCCTTCCTTACTTTCCACTCACTTTCCTTCATTTTCGAGGCAAACCCAAGTGAACTGGAAGGAAACATCAAGAGCCCATGTGTTTAGAGCTGTGTTTCCTGGGTTTGGCAGAGAAGATGTGCTAGTTTACATTGATGATGATAATATGCTTCAAATAAGTACCGAGGATGGTAAGTTTATGAGCAAGTTTAAGTTGCCTGATAATGCTAGAAGGGATCTGGTCAAGGCTGACATGGTGAATGGTGTGCTCACTGTTACTATTCCTAAGGAAGATGCTGCCAATTATAGGCCTGATGTTAGGGTTGTCGAGATCGAAGGTTCTGGCTGATAATTATGTAATAATTAAGGACTATAATGTAGTTTATGTGTGATGAGAGAGTTTGCATTAGTATGGTATGGCATTTGTGTGTTTTGTGTGCCTTTTTGTTTAGTGAGTTTTAGCTATGTAATGACTTTTGTTTCTAAGTTAATAGTGGTTTGGCGTTTATTTTAAATTATTAATCCTGTGATGTAAATAAGGTTCAACTTGATTTACATGTAATTTAGCATCCGTTTGAGTCAGTTTGCTCATAAATTGAGATTAAGTTTTTTTTTTTGGCGATTTTAATGATGCATCTTTAGAAAGATTTTAATAATATATTTTTATATTAAATTAACAATAAATTTCCTTAATGGTGATTTAGTTGACTTTTATAAAGTATTTTAATTCAATTTTTTTTATTCTAACCACTACTTAGCATGTACAAATACATAGGTGCTTTTTTAGTTACCAAAAATAAAGAGTCTAGAATGAAAATATATGAATCTCAAGGAAAATTAAGGAATCCGAATAAAATTTTCATCTTCATATGGTGTTTGAAACAGTAATATAAAATTGGAATGAATTTAAAATTTTTAATATTTAGATTTTAAAATAAATAAAAATGATTAAGAAAATAAATTTATTAATTATTATAATAGTCAAAATAATAAAGGCAGAGTGTAGTGGTGCTGTTTGAGGAGGAGGAGGAGATGATAATGATGGCTATGGTAGTAATAATAGTGGTTTAATGAAAAATTTTATTCTCGTTCTATTTCGATTTGATAATTTCAGATCTATAACATTAAATTATATAATTTGAATTCTAAAGTATTAGACATTTGGTAAATGTGATTCACATTGTACAATATTTGTTCAGCATAACGAATAAATGTTGATCGTTACTTGAAATATCAAAATGATATTGTTTAGGCATTTTGTTGTTAATTATTTTAAAAAAACATTTTTAAAATATTATTAACCCCTCTAATATTGAACTTTTTTCTAAAATTTTTTTCTTATTAAATAATATATTTTATAAATTATATAAAAAATTTATAAATATTTTTAACTCCTTAATTTTGATTTTTTTAAAAAACTTTTTATAAAATGTTATTGTAAAAAATAATAATTAACTATATACAATTTCAAATCTTAAAAAAATATTTTATAAATTAAAATGAACATAATTAAGAATTGATTCTCCTAATTTTATAAATTATAAAAAAATATTTATAATTTTTTTTAAAAGTTCAAAATTAGAAATGTTAAAAATATTTATATTATTTTATAAAAAAAGTTCAAGGTTAGGGCCTCGAGGTTAAATATATATATATATGTATGTATATATATATATATATATATATATATATATATAAACATAATTAACGATGAAATGTTAAAACTACGTTGTTTTGAAATTTTAAATGATGATCAATGAGGTTGACCATTACATATAATGAAGATTGGATGATTTTAATTATATTTATCCTATTTTTAATGTTTTGAAGTTTAAATTACATGATTTGATACTATGATTTTGAAATTATCAAATCGTAATAGAATGAATGTAAAATTTATCATTAAATCTAATAATAGTATAATAATATATTTTAAAGAAAATTGAAGCTACCCGCAGGAAGTAGTAACGGAAGAAAAGTAGTGTAGCAGAGGTCCAAGAGAAGAAGTTGCGGCCACATAATAATATTTTTTTCAAAATTTTTTTATCATCACCATTAACAGTGGTAATGTCAGTGGTGGGACCGCGGTGGTAGTAAAAATAGGTTCAGGCCATCAGAATGAGAGCGAACGAGAGTATTCGCGGGTTATACAAAACGGAGCCCTAGTTAGGTCTTTTAGAAACCCACTAAAGAAAGCAAGCCCAGCCCACTTTATGAGTCTTTAAAGGCCTAGTACGTATAGAAAGGGTGCAGGTTGGTAGGAGTACATAAGCCTATGAAGTGACAATTTAGCTGAGTAGACAAGTCACAGTAAAAATTCAAATTTTTAAACCGGCCTTTTCATCTTCTCCTTCATCTCAGGATCCTTTTACTTTTTTACCTCTGTTTTTTACTCGTTTCCTTTCCAATTTTCAAAGTTGCCCCCCTTTAGAATCACCTTCTTCTTGTTTGCCACAGCTAAACATCACCAAGAAATGGCTATTCTTCCCGCAAATTCACCTCAGGTTCCTCTTCTGTTTCTCTGTTTCTCTTTATCTTTGTTCACTCCATTGCTTGTTGGTTATTTTTGTTTTGTTTTGTTGTGTGTTCATTTGTAGGCAAAGCGGGAAGGGCCATCAGAGGTGAAAAGAAGTAAAATGGTTTTGGCTTTAACCAAAACAAATATTAAGAAACAAGTGAGAATCTGTACTTTATGCTCTGTTTTTTCGATTCTTCGAGTCTTTTAATGGCAAGAAAATAACCACAAGGATTGGCTTAGTGGTAAGAGCCTTGGGTTTCCAAATAGAAGTCTCGGGTTCAAATTACACTTTCCACGCCTCTTTTAGGACACCGCAAGGCTTATATCTGCTTACGCGATTCCAAGAATGTGGGGGGCTTGGAATCTTAGGATTTAGGGTCAGTCTTGAGCACAGTCAGTTCTCGGGTCAACAGAAAAAAAGGAATAACAGTGATGAGTTTGATCATTGTTAGTGTCATTAGGTAGTACAAGCTTAGCCTTTTATGGTATTTTCATAAGTGCTACCAATGATGAGTTTGATCATTGTTAGTGTCATTAGGTGGTACAAGATTAGCCTTTTAGTGTCTTGAGGACAGTCAGTTCTCGGGTTAACAGAAAAAAAGGAATAACAATGATGAGTTTGATCATTGTTAGTGTCATTAGGTAGTACAAGCTTAGCCTTTTATGGCAATTTAATAAGTGATACCATTTTCTGTTTTTGGTTTTAGAAAATGGGTTTTTGAAATATTTTGATTTTGATACTATATCTGATCAGCTTTTTTTTTTTTTTTTAAATGTTTTTGAAAATGAAAAAAAAAAGAAAATTTATTCAGATGCACTGTCAAATATTCTTAGTTTCTTTAAATGTTTTAAAAAAAGGGGTAAAGATCAGTTGTTTTTGAACAGGCACCACATAATGTTGCTGTGAAGTCTGAAAGGTGAGTGACTTGAATTCAATGGCTATCTGCTATAAAAATGTTGAATTTTCTTTTTCAAATTTGATTAAATTCTGACTCCATTTTATCCTATGTAGCTGCAAAAGGCAGAGAACCACAGTTGACAATGATGAAGTTAAATCTAAATCCATGATGAGAGCAAATGACATTCAAGCTAATCTAGCACCTGAATTTCCTAGCTTGATAAAGTATATGCAGCCTTCACATGTTAGTGGAGGATTTTGGCTGGTAAACCCCAATTTGTTATGTTTTTTGTTTTTCTTTCTCATATTTTGTGGATCTGGGTTTTCTAGTGAATTGAATGGCTTAACTTATTGGATGATAGGGTCTTTATAAGAAATTTTGTGATGAACACTTGCCAACTGAGGATACAGTGATTGTTTTGGAAGATGAAAGGGGAAAAAGTTCTAAAACAAAATATCTTGCGAACAAGAAGGGTCTCAGTGGTGGATGGAGAGGGTTCTCCATTGATCACAACTTATCAGAGGGAGATGTGTTGGTTTTTCATTTAGTAGAACCGACGAAATTTAAGGTAAATTCTATGAACTTTCTTCTCAAAGTTTACAATGGTTGGATTCCTTGCTTGCAATTCCTGCTCTGTTGTGGCCATCAAATAAATAGAATGAATCAAACTTGTCTGAAGAAGTCTTAGCATTGCTTCTTGAAACAAATCGTTATTGCCAGCAGACTTAAATCGTTTGGTTATCTGCCAGTTACAGATAATAATCTCACATTCTCAGTTTAGATAGGTTTTGTTCTTCCCTTTGGAAGTACATTGCGAGGTGTTCATGGATGTTACGTTGCGTTAAATTACCATTACTTCATATACTGATATGCTTACCTTGTTTTAAGGTCTACATTGTGAGAGCAAACAGTTCAGAAGAATGGGATTTTCCTCTTGCCCTTTCGAAATTTGGTGCTAGTGTTAAGAAAATGAATTCTTGTAAGTTGTTTCTCCATTCAGCAGACACTTAAACTCCCTTATCAATCACAAATAGCCCAAACGATTTAAATATATTCACCATTTACAGTCATCGGCACAGATCATGCAGAGGCAAGTGAAGAAATGGAATATCAGGATTTGGAACACCTCTATCTGGACAATCCTGAAGGGAACATTCAAGGGAATAACACGACACCCGGTGTAACTAACCTTGCACTTACACCGGATCATTCTAAAAATAAAAGTAAAGATTTTGGCTTTGAAATCACAGATGGAATCAGAATGTCAGAAACTGCGATTGATTTTAAAGAAGTGAAAAGTTTCGACGATTTCGACATCCTCGTAGATGGTTTAGTTATTAACTGTGAGCTCTCCAAACACCTTCAATTGAAGTACTATGAGCTTTGCCGCAGTCAAAATTCTTTTCTCCACGAAAATTTTCTCGAGGGCCTTAACTTGAAACTAATTGCTGGAATAATTTCTGAGACTATAAACATTGCTGATGCCATTAGAGCTTCCAAGATCACTGCTTCCTATGATTATTTCACAACTTGGGAGAAGACTCTGAAATCCTTCCGGCGGTTAGGAATGAAGGTTGGTTTCATGCTTGCCCGGTTGGAACGACTTATGAAGTTATCTGCCAAGTCACAGAGGTATAAGAAAGCTAGAAACGAAAGAGATAATGCCGCCGAGGAGATGAGAACTCTTGAGGCTAAGCTTTCGGAGGTTAAAGAGACTCTGGATTGTCTAGATGTTGAGATCGAAACATTGGAGGTGGATACTGAGAATCTTGAGCTTAGGTTCCAAGAACTGGCCAAAGCCCCATGGTGATATTAAGAAAGCTGGTTTTATATTTTTTGTTGGGGAACAAGAGCTTCATGCTTCTGGAGATGGATAATGGCTATGGCTGCAAACCTCGACCGTAGCTTTTTCAGAACGACTGCTCTATAAAATAGAATTCAATGGGAAATTTCCCATGCATGAAAGGAAAGATGGCATGAGGTTTTTATTTTTGGTTTTGTGTTCCCCATGGCTGACATGTAGCCCTCGGACATATATATATATATATATTATTGGATGTAAATCAGTCATTACTCCCAATTTCCGAACTCCATTAAAAGAAAAATCTATACTTCATAGTCTAAAACAAATATGATAAAGAAAATATATGTAAAATCGATCTTAAATGGTATAAAAAAATTATAATATTACATAATTAAAATGAATATGGATTTCACGAAAAAAAGAAGAAGCAAAATCATAAATAAAAAATATTATGCATATAATGTCTATCGGTCTGGAGATAAAACGGTTGGAGGTTATTGTATTTGTCCCCAATCTGTCTTTATAAAATGAAATATAAAATGAGATGAGTAGTGACTGATTTTCCAATTTATTCCTTTTGTGTTAAGATTGCTTTTATTTGATTTTTGAAATAGTTTGAGAAAGTTATTAATTATTATGTTATATCAATATTTTTTATCCGTACTTTCTAAAAATATTTTTTTGTTAAAATTGTTAGTTATTAAATTTAATCTTGTGTAATATGAAATCAATATTAATTTAAGTAGAAAATCTATCCAAAATTAAGGTGGTAAATCACAAGAAACATTATTAAGTTTAATAACAATCAAGTTTAAAATTATGAAAAAATAAAATACTAATAGAAATATTTTAATCTCCAATTTTGGTATGTAGTAAAGTTTCTATAAAAATATATATTATTCATGCAACAAAAGTTTTTTTTTAAAATTTTTATGTTAAATGTATTTCTATGTATGAAGGGAAAGTAAAGAGAATATTGAGTTTTTGTCAATAAAAAGTAGCAAATGAATGAAATAATTGATTTCATTTATCAAGTAAGAGTATTTTAGGAAATTATATTATTTAAAATTTTTATCAGATAAATATTTCGAGACAAATATAAATAGAAAGAATAATATTTTTAGGGTAGAGAAAATAATTTTTTTAGCACAAATTAATTGAATCAATCATGCATGTGACTTGATATTATACTAAAAATAAATATGAGTTCGATGGACATGTCAATCATATACAAAGTATGTGAAAATAATTTTTTTTTTTAAATCACATGGTACAAGAAAGTCTCTCGCTCTTCGAAACCTCTCTCTCCTCTCTTTTACTTCTCTCTAGTCAGTATAATATTAAGTCATGTACATCATTCTTTATGTTAATTTGAATTAAAAAAATTAACAAAAAATAAAATAGATTAAAAACTCACACATTTTAAAAGAATAAAACTAGCTAAATTAATAATATAAAACAGATTGGAAACTCTCTCTTTCATACCACGACAAACGAGATCATTTCCCTACAATTTTTTTAGATAACGAAAAATCTATTATTTATAGTATAAAATAAATACAATAAAGAAAATGCTTGTAAAATCGATTTCAAATAGTATAAAAAATTAAAAAAGATCGATAATTAAAATAAATATGTATTCCACAAAAAAAAAACTAGCAAAATCATTTATTATGGGCTGAAATATGGGCCCTCGAATTTTGACCCATAATCCCTTCATGGGCTTATAGCTACAAAGCAATCAATAAACCAAATTCATCTCAACCAGAAACAAAATAATTAATTAATATCTGTCCCTGCCAACTCACCATCCATCAAACAAACAGGAAGGTCCCTTCACCTTTCTAGCAAATTCATTCTCCTGGCCTCTGCTCCGTTTTTAGGCGCAAACTGTTTTTTGGCCCTTCTAGTTCCACCTACTCTACTTTTACCCCTATTGTTCAAAATTTTCGAAAAACACCTCTATAATCATTTATGCTATCTTTTCTTATTTTGTCTATTTTATTCCTCTCAAATCTAAATTTTTTTTAATATCTAACAAAAACACCTAAAAAACTAAAAAGTCAATTGGTCTTAAAATCCCTTAAATTTTATGTTGTTTGAGAATCGATCCTTCAACTTTTAATCTTAAAACATCTCTATAATCATTTATGCTATCTTTTCTTATTTTGTCTATTTTATTCCTCTCAAATCTATTTTTTTTTTTAAATTAAAAAGTCAATTGATCTTAAAATTCCTTAAATTTTAAGTTGTTTAAGAATCGATCCTTCAACTTTTAATTTCATGTTGGAACTCCTTGATACTATTTTTATTCAAAATTAGGTCATTATTTTAGGTTTTAATCCATTATAAAATATAAATATGATTTCTTAGTGACTAAAAACATGCCAAATCTTATAAATACTTTTTTTTGTTTTTCCTCTCATAAATGATAAAAAAAAGCAATAAAAATATTTTAAAAGAAAAGAAAAACAAAATATTTATAAATTTTAGTATTTTCTAGTTATTAGGCTTAAAAAATTAGAAAATAAGCCACCTAAAAATTACATATACTACTATTGTTAAAATTGATGAAAACTAGAGAATTCAATTTCAAATCAAAACTAGTTGGATGGAAGTATAATTCGAAATTAAAAATTAAGAAACTGATTCTAAAATGATTTAAAGTTCAGGATTAGCCAAACTAAAAAACCAAATTAAAAACATAAGTTAATAATTGATTAGGGATAACCTTGAGAGTTTTTAACATACAGGGATATAAATGAAACATTATAAATCTATATGCGCTAAAATAAAGTTTACATTCTTGTTAAAAAAAAAAAAAAAGAAAGAAATCCAATTTTGTTTTTTGGAAAAGGAGAAGTGTTCTTTCTTTCTTCGTTTTCCAACGCCACACTCACCCTCCGATCAGTCTCTCTCCATCCTTCTTCTTTTTCCGGCCGCTAGAAAAAAAATTCCTAAAATAAGAGAGAAGCAGCGAATGAATGAATGATTCTCTCAATTCGACGGCTGTGATCGTAAGTTAATATTGCAAATCATGTGGTCTTCCTTTTGGAGATCCAGAGATCGTTTCTCCTTGGATGAACTCAGGTTTCTCTCTCTTAATTTTCACTAATTTATCTTTTATTTAACTAATTACTGTCAAATTCGAGCGATTTTTTTTGTTGTATTTTATTGTAATTAAGAGTCAAATTCTCTGTTGATTTTTCAAATTCTCTACACTCTCAAGTCACTTTCTTAAATATTTTTTTTAAACATTAGTAAAACTTGTCACTTTCTACTGTTTAATTTGGCAATTCTTGCAATTAAAGGATAAATAATGTATTTTTGAATGAATTTCTGATATATTTTTTTGGTTACTTTGTTTACAGATATAAAACTGATCAGCTGCAAAAAGTTCAAATTGTAAATAATGTTAATAAGGTAATTAATTAAGTAATTAATAACTATATATATTTTTTTATTTTTACTCTGTTTGAACTTAATTGTGTTTTGTTATCAAAGGACTTTGTAATTGAGGCGCTGAGATCGATATCGGAACTAATAACGTACGGAGACCAGCATGATTCGAACTATTTTGAGTAAGACTGATGAATTAATATATAATTTTCCGTTTGGATAGTTAGGTTTTGATGATTGTTTTGTGAATTCTATGAGTTATTTACTGTGCTTTGCAGAATTTTTATGGAAAGGCAAGTAATGGGAGAGTTTGTAAGGATACTTAAGGTTAGCAGAACGGTTTCCATTTCGCTTCAGTTGCTGCAAACGATGAGCATTATGATTCAGAATTTAAAATCCGAGCATGCAATTTGTGAGTTTGGTGATTGAAGTATTGAATTTTGTTGGTTCTGGACAATGTTGGATTCATTTGACGAGTTGTTTTTGTTTTGCAGATTATATCTTCAGTAATGAGCATATTAATTTTTTGATAACTTATACATTTGATTTTCGAAACGAGGAGTTGTTGTCATACTACATTTCTTTTTTAAGGTATGTTTTTTCGTCATTGTTATGGTGGTAGTCGACTGTTGTTATATTGGAAGTCTTGACTATGATTTTTAACATGTTTTGTGGCTGTGAAGGGCGATAAGTGGGAAGCTTGACAAGAATACAATTTCTTTGCTCGTGAAGACTCAAAATGTAGGTTTGTCTGTCTTTTCTACTCTGTTTATATTGCATGACATGGCTGTTTTCCTTTTTTATTAGAATTTTTAAAAGTTAGGCTGGTAATTTTTTATCAATCTTTCTGTGCACCAATGCTTGTGCCTGAAGTTTCAAAGAATTGTGCAATTCGATACTAATAGTGATAAAGTTGAGAGTTTACATTTGTCCATATTGTAAGAGGGCCATCACATAGCTTGTTTCTGCCCTTCTTGATGAGGATTCGTCATTCCAAATGGCACATTCAACATTCCACTTGAACAGCACTAGCTAGTCCTTTTGAGTATTATCTGTTTATGAGAACCACTCAAACTGACATTGTAGGGCACTGGTTGGTTGTAAGTTGTTCAAGCTGGTAAGCAATGAATGGCTTGCTGCCTAAACAGCAGCAAAGCCTCAATCCCAAACTAGTTGGGGTCAGGGGTTTGCTGCCTAAACAATGCATCAATTTTTGGTAACGTTAGTTTCACACTTTTATTCACTGTTTTACTTTGTTTCTACTGGGCTACATTAGAGATCAAGCCATCTCTTTGCATGCTGTACCTTATTGATATTTTCCTCAACTGCTTTGTGCTTGTAGGAAGAAGTTGTTTCTTTTCCACTGTATGTTGAGGCAATACGATTTGCTTTCCACGAAGAGAATATGATTCGTACTGCAGTGCGTGCACTGACACTCAATGTCTATCATGGTGAGTGGGTGTTATTCTATCTATCCCTGCTTGTTTTGTTCCAATTGTTTTTTTCGTAATGGTATTTTGTAAGCTGAACAAATTTTCTTCGATTTCCTCTTGGTTTTCAGTTGGCGATGAATCTGTGAATAGATTTGTTGTGATGGCCCCTCATGCTGATTATTTTTCAAACTTGCTTACTTTTTTCCGGAAGCAGTGCATCGATCTAAGTGGATTGGTCTCTGAAACTCTAAAGTAAGAGTAGGATAGTTAAAACTTTATATGACAGTGAGTTGAAAGTACTTAGTCCTAAATATTGTTGTTTGGTTGCTGAGACAGAAACCCAGAATCAGATACAACAACTGTGATTCTTAATGCCGTGGATGAAATTGAGGACAATCTCTACTATATTAGTGATGTTATTTCTGCAGGGATTCCAGATGTTGGAAGGTTAATAACAGACAATATTTTGCAACTTTTGATCCTTCCTTTACTTCTTCCATCTTTGCAGTTGGATGCTGTTCATGTACGAACTTGCTCTTGTTTCAGTTTCATTCATTCTATAATTTCTCCTTTTGAGCTCAAGGGCTTTTAACAGTTTGTTGATGCACTTTTTGATTATGTAATACAAGTAGGTCTTACTTAACCTCTGATAGCTTGTGAATTCAGGATGTTCAGATTGGTGCTGTCACTTCTCTATATTTGCTCTGTTGCATCTTACGCATAGTTAAAAGCAAAGATTTGGCAAATACCATTGCTGCTGCTCTTTTCTGTCCACCAGAGGCTTTTGTTCCTATCTCTGAGACTAAATCCAATGGTTATATGCCTGATCATGTGCATGAAATCCAACAGCCGGAAAATGAAAACGTGATTGAGGTGGATGGATGTTCAAAACAGATTGTGCAGAGCTTGTCTAGTTCTTCGGAAGTTCATCCTGAAGATATTATCTTAAAAGGTGTTTCTCATTCTACTTTGAGGTAAAAGTTACTAAATTCTGAAGTGCTAATTCTCTTTCCATTTTCCATCTCTTCCCTCACTGTCCAACTTCGGTCCACTCTTTGTTTTTTGCTCTGTGAAGTGACAAGAATGTTTTCTTTCTTTAACCAACTGACTATCTGACTGAGCGCTGGCTGCCTTCTTTGTGCTGCTTCTTAACTTGAACAGCAGTTTCTGATTTACTAGCTTTCTAATTTTCCAGCTTTTGTTTGCTATCCCTTCTAATTTTATCTCGACCTTTGTAATACTTGTAGGGATTCTTTACTTGCATATATTACAGTTGGAGATGATCTTCAAGTTCTTGGTTCCTTAAGCTTGTTAGCTACATTGTTGCAAGCAAAAGGTTTTCCTCTTGGAACTATCAGCTTCTGTTGCTACTGATTTATATTGCCGTTACCTTATTGGATATCTGTTTTAGTAGAATTAGATGAAACAATGCTAGATGCTCTTGGAATCCTCCCCCAGCGCAAGCAACACAAGAAGCTCTTGCTGGTAAGTTGTAGATATAGTTTTTGTTCCTCAATTTTGGTAACCGTGGTGGGATTACTTTCTTATTTGTTTATTTTCTCACTTCATGATTGGTAAACAATATTCATCTGATACTCCTTGCTACTAAATTATGAATTCGAATCATGGTTATTTCTAGATGTTATGAATGACTTTCAGTGATTAACTTTTAGCAGCTCTAAGATAGCACTGTATTTGTTAAGATAGCATGGATTTAAATTGTATGCAATATTATGGCTTTGAAGACCCTGTTATTGGTAATTTCAACTAATATTTGGTAAACCTTATTACATGTTGATTGGTTATGGAGGCAAAACTTAATCAGTTTGTCCTCCTCTCTGCAGCAAGCATTGGTTGGTGAGGACGGACTAGAAGATCAACTCTTTTCTTCTGGAAGCAGCTCTATAAGAGATGGATTTAGTTGTGAGCTTGATGGCTATCTACAAAATCTCAAGGTAATGATTCCATTCCTTTCTCTCCATCAAAGAAACATTAGCAATGATGGATCTTGTGCAATGGGAACTAGGAAAAAATTGGAATATTGGTTATATTGAAATCATGTCTTGAAATTTTTGCAATATGTGAAGGACTATTATTTAATTAAATTGATTTCTTATAAGATTGAAATTCAATTTCATTTAGTTGCAGGGTAGAAGGTTACTTACTTTAGCATCTGTTTGAATTAGTGCAGCTGGTATTGTGTTGTGTTGCTGTTATATCCTGCTTCTCAGAATAATTTGTTCTTGATTTTGAGGAAAAAAATAGGGTTTTCTTGTCCAGAACAGGCGTAGTTTTGATTCAACCACTCCGCTTCATCATCATCATCATCTACACCTAGATGTACAATTCTCCACTTCTCTGTGGAATCAAACTGTTCCACTACTTATATATCCATGCTCAGAAACTATTCTTTTGTATAAGTATCTATAATTGAAAATTGCATTTATTGAGATATGCTTACACCTCTTCTGCAAAGTTTATCTTTTTCTGATATTCCTGTCCCTTTCATTTCCACATGATGATTGTTTTTATTTCTTTAAATAATATATAACAGGAGCAGTATGGAGTAGCATGCTTTTCCTTGGAGGTGGGAACAAGACCCTCTGTACATAGATTTCAGGTACATTTTTCTTTTTGGAGTAAAATGAGCTTTTCGAATCCATTTGTGGCCTACCAATCTGAATAACTTATGGGTTAGAAATTTCTTTTATATTGGACTGCTGACTGAAGAAGCTTGGTACTTAGTCCTCCTGATATGCATCAATTGTCTTCTAGATAACTTCAGCCTGAGGCAGCAGGAAGAATCAGGAAAAAAGTAAATTTTTTACCTTAAAAAGAAATCATGATGTGGGAAATTATGTCCCAAAAGCTTCTATTGTTCAGACATGGAGCTTGCAACAAGCTGATTGTTGCAAGTTGAAGTACCTCTTACATAGCAGAAGGAAATTATGCTTGCTTTTTGTGCTTTGTTGAACATTGTTTATTTATGGAAAATTGATATGGTTCAACTTCCGTTCACTTAAAAAATGTTAATGAGCTCTTCTTTTGAAAACATGTCTTGTATATGCTTTGATACTTGATCGGTTATGAAATGTGTTTTGCAGGTTCTAGATGCATTGGTTAGTCTTTTTTGTCGGTCAAATATATCTCCAGAGACATTGTGGGATGGTGGTTGGCTTTTGCGTCAGCTACTTCCCTATAGTGAGGCAGAATTCAATAGTCAGCATCTTAAATTATTGAAAGTAAGTTACACTCCACAGTAGATTTTTGAATTATGAGTCAATACATGATGACCCAGCAGGTGCCAAATGCTATTCCTAGTTATAAACTGCAACATAATGGTACCTTAAATATTTGTTACTTGCGGCCTCTATCTGAAACAATGGTTTTATGCTACTAAGGATGCATGTCATATATTTGTCAAATGCTACTCCTAGTTGTAAGATTGCAACATAATGGGACCTTGAATATTTGTTACTTACAGCCATTATTTGAAACCATGGTTTATGCTACCGAGTTTCATGATGCATGTTTTATATTTGTGGGCGTTGTTTTGTTTCTTGATGATCTAGTAATATTATTATATTATAATGATTCAGTAAACTTCTCATACACAGGATTCATATAAGAATTGCACTTGTGCTCTTCTTGAGGAGGCCAGAGGTACCTGGCCCGACCTACTTGTAACAGTCTTACGTGATGAATGGAAAAGGTGCAAAAGAGGTATTTGGTGGAACTTTTAATGTTACAAATGACTTGTTTGACTAAGTGATTGACTGATGTATTTGACAAATAAATTGTCACTTGTAGCAATGGAAGCTTCGTCTCCTCAGAAAGAGCCAAAGTGCATACTCTTGCCATCAGAGAAGCCCTGTTGTGATGGTAAAGCTATTGCGCAGTAGATGTACTTTGGGATATTCTTCATTACAGGGTTGGGATTTTGTTCAAAAATATTCATTCAGTGTTTCTATTTGACTTGTAGATGTTCTTCCCAGTGAATCTTCATATGTTGCTGGTGAAAGAATGTGCAACGTGGTGAAGGTTTGTGTTTGCATTTGTGTTCTTTCTTGTTCATCTATTTTTTTTCTTCCAACTAGATAAAGCTTAAGATTAAATAGATCAGCTGCATACTGATGTTATAGTGACAATGAACTTAAAGATACTCTATGCACACACACGCATGCACGACCTGTTTTAGTGTGAGAATCATTGAGAATAAAGAGCCTACATAATCTAGCAATTAGATGTTTTAACTTATCTGTATTGTTACAGTGTCTAATTTTATTTTATTTTTTCATTTCCATTCAGGTGTTTGTACTTCTTCATCAACTTCAAATGTTCTCCCTTGGTAGGGCATTACCCGAGCAGCCTCCTACTTGTCCTCCAAGTGATATCCCTGAAAATTCCCGTGCAAGAAATGCTGGTCTGGATCTTTCAGGTCCAAAAGTAGGCTCTGAGTTAAGACTAGGTCAGTTTTCCATCTGGTACTTGACATGATACATTGATGATGATGAAAACAATATGACAATGACGGAGATGGTATATGATATGATGATGGTGCGTGTGTGTGTAAGCATGCACGAGCTGTGTTGCTTGTAGGACTTTTGGCTAGATAAATGATAATTCAGTGGCCTATTGCTTCCAACTTCTAAAGTATGGATTTATTTTCTTAGAAATATTTCTTGGTTAAATCTTTCTGGTCCCTTCCATATGCAGTTGATGCCGTGCCCTGTAGGATTGCTTTTGAGAGGGGTAAAGAGCGCCTTTTTTGGTTTTTAGCAATCTCTGTGGGCACATCTGGGTGGATCCTACTTGCAGAAGAATTACCCTTGAAGAAGTATTCTGGAATCATCCGTGTTGTTGCTCCTTTAGCAAGTTCTAAGGTATGTATGGCTTTGTTGTGCCTTCTTTTGCCTAAGATTGCTTAATTGGATAAAAATTATTGATTACGCCATGTATGCATGAAAATATTTTCTTCTATACATACTTCATTTTGAACGTGTTTCACTGACAACTTGATTATACGACCCGAGACTTCTAATATTCTTACTGTTGATGTCTTATACTTTGGGCCTTAGCAGAATGATTGTAATTTCACAATTGCTTTATTTTTCTTGATTTTGGCCTTCAGCCTACAATTGATCAGAAGCATTCAAGATGGTTACACTTGCGGATCCGTCCATCTACTTTACCCTTTTTGGATCCTACTAAACCCATTACTCATGGGAAGGTTAAGACAAAAGCTTTGATGGATGGGAGATGGACCTTAGCTTTTAGGGATGACGAATCTTGCAAGTCTGCCAGGTCTATGATTCTTGAGGAGATTGATATGCAAAGTAATGAAGTTGAGAGAAGGCTAAAACCATTGCTCAACCTGGAAGGAGCTATAGATGTTTCAGACACTTCTCTACATTCTCCTGAGGCTTCCTCATCAACTGCAATGCCTTCCAATTCATTGTAAGTTTCTACTTGGTTCGAGTTCTCAGTGATAGTTTGCTTTATGCTTTGGGTGGGAAAATATTATGCCATCTCGCCCTTCCATATATGTTTATATGGCAACAGTAGATATACCCAACAACGTAGATTAGCACCCCAATTTAGTCATTCTTTGTATACAAGCTTCTTTTGCCCTGATTTGTTGTTACTCTAGTGGCCTTTTTTTTCCACATTTTTTAGTCCCTAACCTAGGCTTCTCTTTCTTTTTCCTAATTTTGTATTGTGTAACATTAATGTATATCTGAGGCAATTTCATAGTAAAAGCTTTTTGTTTATTGATAATCAGAACGTATAATTCACCTTTATCAAATTCCAGAATGCGTTGCTAACGTAAAGCTTCCTTGATTCTATGGATGTTAACCTTATCCCTTCCCCACAACTGACTGCTCTAAATACAGATTCTTTGCGTGTGTTGATTAGTTAGGTATGGAACACAGTGGCTTGCTGTTAGAACTAGCAGATCAAGCTTGATTTGAGCTTGA